AGCTCCTGGTACACATCCTGTGTGCAGAATTGGCTACGAGTGCATTAAATCTCTGGTAAGCAGCTCCTGATTATTTACTTGAATTTCCAGTCTTTGCCTCTCTATTCTGTTTCTCCAATTTATGTGCCCACGAGCACGAGCCCTCACCTGTAGCCGAAGAAAGTTCTTGTATGACTCCTGTCGCTTCAGATGCCGTGGAGATGGTGGCTCACCAAACACATTACCTCGAGCAAAAGGAGAGGTCTGTGCAAGCGTAAAACCTAAGAGGACAGGGGAAGAAACAAAGTTTTCCGGGTAAAAATCTAAAAATTTGAGACAGCAAGTGAAAGAGGAGAAGCATTAAACTAAGACACCGAGACACTTCTTTCACAAGGTAGCTTACAATACCCTTACTCAAGATTTTGGTTGAAAACAATAGCTATGATTGAAGCTTTTAGGTTGTTTGCTCAGAATCCAATCTGGTTTTAATGACAAAATGTTTCAGCTTGTGGGTATGTATGCGTTTTATTTAAACATAGTAACAGGATATCATGAAACAAGTCATTTATCCTAGTGACCAATCTACAGTTGGTCTAAAGAAAAAAGTTAAATGGTTAAGTTTTTACATTTCACAATTTTATTTCTTGTTTTTACTCAAACATAGAATAAATCCAAGGAGCAGAACAGTGTGTACTATTTTTAAAAACAGTGAGGGTTTTTTGTTCTTTTTTTGCATCCTTATGGAATAAATGTTTAGGTAAAACAGCAGTGGATGTTACCAAAAAAAAAAAAAGTGGGGGGGTAAATAAAATTCAATAGACCTAATCAGATACAACTTTGCTAGCATAAGAGGCACTCTATGCTACGAGGTTTGAAGTGTCTGGTCTTTCAGCTCAGCTACCTTATCTATTGGAATAACTGGAAGCAACATCATTAGCAACATCAGCTCTCAGCCAGGAATCCATCACAACCACGCAGTCCCCAAAGCTCTAGGGAAAGGAAGAGTAACTCAGATACCACTTGAACAGCTTTTGCAGAACAGTTTGCTAGAAGCAGTGGAGGAAAAGGGGAGTGAGTATAGGAGAAGGAGAGAACACTGTGCTGACTTTCTACCTGCTACAGCTCATTCCTTACTCACATCGAGTTTACACATGATTGAGGCAGTACCCTTTGGAGTAAATCATGGCTCTACTCCCACACTTTTGTTGGAAATTTCAAATGAACAGTCATGGCTGCTCTCATGCTCCCCCTTTGCTTTTCCACATATGGTGGTTAAGATCAAAGTCAGATGTGAGCAGAAATAACATTCCCATTAACTTGCATGGGGATGCACCATGCTCACTACTCAAAAGTGTGTTGTCTATCTTAAATAACATTGTACATATTGAGGTTAATATTCTTCTTTATATGGAATCACAGTATAAATGCTTCCAAATTTTACATGTACCTCTTTCAGGATATATTTCATACAAGCTATAACTAGCTATAAACCAACCTGTAAGTCGAAATAAAGTTTATATACCACTCAAAACACATACACGAGAGACAAGTTACACAGAAACATGTCCAGGTGTGAACGTTGTGTATCTGCTACTCTCCTGCAAACTGCTCTTTAAGGGGAAGGGGAATAAAACAAAAGTAACCAGCAACGGGCCACTTCACTGTCTGAGTATTCAAATAGAAAGTTCAAGACTGAAGTCCACATCTCTGGTCTGAACCAATCCCCACCTCCTGATCCCAAAATGCGTGCTTCAGCCAGGGGACTCCGAGATCCTGCATTATTGCTTTCTCAGTTTTGCTTGTTTCACTTCTTGCTAAATGGTTAAATTTACGGTGTACTAGGGACAAAGTTCGGGAGAGGGGGATGGTGGGAGGACAAAAGAAAATTGTACAGCCAGGATGGTGAGCTGCAATCTTGTCAAGTCCAGGTCCATGCTCCAATTGCCACCTAATTCTTTACAAGGTCTGCCATGAGAAGGAGAGGCAACATCTAAACTGCCTTTAGGAGAGCACCACAGGTCCTGACCCTTGCCCAGCTGTGACAGAGGACACATCTGGAGTTCTGCAGTGCTCTCATTTGGATGTTTCACACATAAGAGAAAGGGAGATAAATATTTTAAAAATAGGAAAAAAAAACAGTAAAATCTAAAAACTTAAGAGGCAGTGCACATGACTGCACATGTGCCAAATTCATCTGTAGTTTTTAAATTTGTTAACCTCAAAACTGCAGCAATTTCATCTGAATTTCCATCATCAATCTGCAGTCTTTCCTCCTTTCTTTCCATCTTCCCTCCTATTATAGAGCTGTATTTCACTGTCTCATTTCAATGAGAATCACATCTGTAAGATTTGATTAGTTAACACCAAATCCAGAAAACTGACCCTGACTGGTACTAAAACAATAAAGAGTACTGAAATGACAGAAGGAAAATACATTCTGAGTGCGCACAAAGACGACAGTGAGAAAAAAATCACAGCACTGACTTACACAGGCAAAGGGCACTAGCACTACTAAAGGACTACAGGAAAGAAGACAAGAGAATTTTGATTATTAAAACCTACAAATAGTTAGAGCTATAATATAGTATTCTTAAAAACCTGCTATTTTATTCGTAGATGCTTCTGCATTCTCGGGTCTTGGGGAGGCCAAACTTAGGTCAACAGATACAATAGCCCTTTTATCTTCATATAGTCTCGCCTCTGGATTATGATACGCATCTTCATTCTGCTTGTGCATCATATTCAAGTCAGCTAAAGGAAAGGGGAAATAACTGTTTACAATATTTTATTCCCACAAAAGGCACATTCACCACAGATTCTCAAAGCACAGGGATGTTTCAGCAGATTTCTTTTTCAGGAACACTCACCAGCTACAGGAACAAAAGATTTAGGCAGTACCAGTAACATATAAGCTGCAGACAAAATGTTAGCTATCAAGAATTCACTGATTAAAATGTAATAATTACTTATAAATTTACTTTGTATGCTGTTGTTTTTCTTTCATCAGTAGAGTTCTTCACAGCTAAAACAACCTCTAGAAAGTGTGTTGAAAATGAGGGATAAAAGCCTAAAGACTAAGAGACAGACAAATCTGTGCTGGTATACAAGCTTAGAAGCTACAAATTCTTCTATTTGCTTAAAGTTGTAAAATATCGAGTTTAACATTGCATCTTAAGTCCTGAATTTCTATTGGATTTCATCTGTATTAATGGTGAGGACCCTAATAAACCATTAATGCGTTTTTTGTTTTTTTCACGCCTCCAGTAATAATCCAGGTGTGGATATAAGTCAATTCAAAATTTTCACCAAAATTTATATTGCACATATTAGGATAAAAATCTTGATCAAAGTTATCAGTGTCAACTAATTTTGAAATATTCACAACACTATACCTAAAAGCGCCCTTAAAAAAGAAAAGCTTAAATTATATTCTTCCCTCGCATGTACCAGAGTCCCTAAAGTATCTATACAGATGTTTTTCAATGAGATAAAAAGACAATTTGGATAGCACAATATATAGACACGTAAAAAAGAGAATCTTACAATCTTGATGACACTGGATCCATAGCTTACCTAGCAAGCTGTTAAACTACGTCAGGAAAAGCAACTTTGAATGTGTCATGGAAGAAAGCAGGCTATGAAGTGTCTTTCTCTTGGTTCCTCATTTATAGAGGGACACAGGCTTTTCAGGAGCATTATATAAACCAAAAGCCAATTTAAGTTACCCACCTCTTCCTCTGTCTCATCCATCCATGAATGGCTTGGAAAAAGAAGTGTCACTAAACCAGATACTTAATTTAAGTGCTTAAAGTTAGGCAGTGTGAGCACCTCTATCCACAGAAGTCTAAAGATAAGTTTCTAAACTTATTATCTGGTCACACTGTTTTGGAGAAAGAAAAAAAAAATTTCCTCTCAATGTCTCAAAGTACTTAGATTTCTGCACCAAGTCCATTTTGTTTTAATTGCCCTAGGAAAAGTCATCCTCTTGGTAACACAGAATCATGAAGGAGGACAAATATAACACTGCAGAATTAGAGATATCTGATGAGAGGTTATGCCTGGCTTTAAAATTCCCACACAAAGTCAGCATCACTTCATCTCTTGGATGAATCCATCCGCTGGATGGAGCCAGCAAAGCTCCTTGAATGAGTAAGTGCTATAGGCAGGAATGAGGAGAGCTGGAATAGGCCAGCAGGAGATAACTGCTGGATAACTACTGCAACATAAACCCTCCCATCAGGGGCCAAACATGAGCATGAAATGAAGCAACCATCATTAAGGGCATTTCCAAAACAGTTGTGTAGACTGTGGGATAGAGAGCATCCATAGTTCAAAAAAGAAAACCTTCGGCACCAGGGTGAATTGTAGGTTAATAATTTTATTCTGAGGTAACTAATTTAATTGTGCCTATTAAATACAGTTTTATTTTACAAAAACAAAATATTCTGCATATGCATTATAAAAATATATATTTGTCTGTGGGGTCTTCTAATGCAATAAAAACTATGCCTCCTCTGATAAGTAGATACTTGCCTAATGTAGGGACCAAGTTCAAGATCCAGAGCCAGGAATTTACTGTTACCATTGATTTACTGGAAGGTTCGATCATCACTTGCCTGGGTTAGCGCTATCTCATTATCCTCTCTTGCACAAAAAAAGCAGTTGGAAAAACAAAAAGCCTTAAAAATAATTGCTGATGACTAGCTGTGACCACACACCACCTATGTAGTAAAATTTAAATATTCCACTTATTTATGTATCTGTCGAAACACTTCCCCATTTTCCATGTCACAAACAAACCAAGACATAACTTTTCAGAAAAAAAAAAGCCAGTAGAATGTTTAAATTACATCCTCCTAACAGAAGTCTAGCACATTTGTATTGCAGACAACTCTAGGGGCTTGCTTTCTCTCTTCTCCCTTTACTATTGTTTGTTGTCTTCATTGATAATTGACATATCTTAAGCTCCTCATGTGGTTCAGACTGTACCATGCAAATGATTCCACTAAAATCAAAGTAACTTCACCCTGACACATTCCTACAGTGCACCTTACTGACAAACAGAAGTACTTATTTCAAGGAAGTGCTATGTTAAAACACAAGGAATAATATGTATAAATAGTGCTTTGCAAGAATGAGAAAACACCACTTAAAAAAAAAAAAAAAAAAAAAAAGACAACCCGTAATTTTGAAAAACATACTTATCAGATTTCCTTTTGCATCTCTGAGAGGAGCACCACCACCACCTTTTCCCCATGGGTTGTAATTCCTCATTTCAGCTTCTAGTTTGGCTTCATAGCGTTCCTTTTCCTCTTTCTCTTGCCTGCGTCGTTCTTCCCTCTCCCTTATCTAAAAGCAAACGAAAAATAAGGCATAAGCATGCCTTAAACATGCCATTAATACACACTATGAAGCTTCCAAACTCCAGAAATATTCACAACTGACACTCACAGTATAAAGGTCCCAAATGCTAGGATTTTTTGATACAGAAATTTATACCACATGAAAAATCAAACAAGAAAAATTTCACAGTACCCCAGTTTTATCTTCTCTCACCGTTACTATTTGTGAAACTTTACACTATGGGTAACTAGAAATAAAGACTTATCAATAAATGCCCTAATAAAATGTGTTATAATTCTACAGCCATTTGACAATGTTCACAAATAGCATATAACTCTTTGCATGATTTGTCTTTGTCTTCAAAATTAGCTTATTTACTTAAGTCTCCTAATAAATCAAGGCATCATTTATAAATGATACAATTGTTAGAAAAGGGCCAATGCTTTTAAAACATTGTATATTCTTGTAGCTAGAATACAGGAATGTAGTTAAGTGTGCTGCCTTTATGTATCAGATAACAAAGACTTCTCTATCACGTAGTCAGATGACTTTATAAAGATGAAACAAGCCAACAAAGATCCATCTAGTTTGTAGAATGCTTTTTTTTAAAAAAAAAAAAAATCAGTCAGGTTTGCCTATAGGAAGAAAGTAGGGAGGCAGCAAATAGAATATATTCTGTCAGCTCTCAATGATAAGCAGCATAATGACTCTGAAAAACTGTGAGAAGTTGTGCCAGGTTTACTAGACCTTTATGTCAATTTGCGGAGTCTCTCACATGAGAGGACAGAATTTCTTTCCGAATATTACAGGGAGAAAATGTTTTCAGTGAAATATCATGTTTATGAAAGGAATTATACAAAACTCGATGATACAAAATTGTTTGCTCAATCCCAAATCTCTGTCTCTGACAAAAAATAAAAAGCTTATCAACCATCTAAATTGCTAAGGTGAACTTGAGGAGGGTCAGATGAACAGGAGGCAAGAAGGGATGAAACGCCTGAGAGCTGCTAAGGAAAGCTTCTACCTGAATATTAAGTATAAATATGTTTGAAAGAGTACTATAGTTACAACCACTATACAGTCAAAAGAAGAAGAAAATGGGAATGGCTTTATTATTCAGTACCTGCAGTTGCAATTCTTGTTGGTAAGATAATGCGACCTCTTTGGAAGGCTTTGTGTTTTCTTCAGAAAATACTCCTATGCTTCTTTGTCTATCTGCTGTACTCCTCTGTCCGGTGTTACTTCTGAAATAAAAGAACACACACAAAAGAAACATCTTAGGGTTCAAAGGACAAAAAAAGTCATTGTTCAAAATACACAAGAACCATTGTTGCTTTCCCACAGCCTGTTTATAATCTCAAATATTTTCATATTACAGTTCAGGCAGGAATTTTTGATCAGGTGTTTAGGGAGCTTCCCTTAACACACTTCACTTCAAAGTCTGATCCCTTGTTAGAAAAACACTCCCAACATGAAAAGCATGGAAAATGAACACAGATAATACTTACAGGGATTGCTCTGCTGGGACTTGGCTTGAAGGAACATCCAGGTTAGGTGTGGGTTGCATTCCCAACATAGCTGTGCCATCTACACATTAAAAAATAGCTATTTTAAATTTGGAACACTGAAAAACAAACAACTGCTAACACAGTCCACGGCTCAAGCTCTGATGGCAGGATCATGAAAAGGATCCTGGATTTCTACAGCATGCAGCTATGCTTAATGCCCCCTAAAGCAAGAAATCCAACACCCACTGTTTAATTTCATCTCTTCCATTTAAATTTGATTAAACATTTTAAAATAATATATTTAAATCCTGTAAAAATTTGCATCTTCATTAAGACACTTTACAATAAACTAACATAAATAATGTACCATTTGTCCTCATGTTTTCAAAAACCTCTTCTGCTGTGAGAAGACCCACACATGCTCTCTAATTTATTTCAACTTTTCAATTAAGGTATCACAATAACTTTTTTTTTTTTTTAATCTTAAAACACTGATTTTTCTGTTTTAAAAAAAACAAAACAACAAAAAAACAAAAATATCCAAATTCTAACCCACATAAATCATACTAGTTTGACTTGTTAAATCCTCATACTGCAGTCACAAAATAGATAAAAAAGTTTTTAAAATAAAATATTGGATTACTTTATGTGTTTTCTTTAAAAATAATTAAAATTATATTTGAAATTGTAACACAACCTAAACAAACACAAAAAAACTTTGAAATAATTTAAGTAATCTTAGAAGATGTTTTTATTGCTGAAACTGAATAAAATCTTCTGAGAAGATTGTTCTTTTCCTTCTTTCATTCCGTACACAACTAAAAACAGGGCATAACTAACTGTTACTAGTCCTAAGTTATTCATAATTTAATTCATCAACCCACCTAAAACTGTCAACTTACAATATGCAAGATTGGGATCCAAAGGATTCCGAGCCCCATAGAAATAATAGGCATCATCATAAGGTGTCCTGTAGTTGTCTGTCAGAGCTGGTGGGGGAGGTGGTGGCATAGCTGCAAGCCTTAAAGGAAAAAAGGAAGGTGGCTTTCGTTTTATTGTACAACTGAAGAGAAACATCAGCACTAAGAAAAAAAAAATCCAGATTCAGCTCAGTTTAAGATCTGAACATGATAGTGAAGCACCTGGGAGCTGCTATTTCACCCAGGGTGCTGGACAGGCCTCTCTGGAAGTCTTCGTTCATCGGCGAGACAGAAGGGACAGGCACAGGCGTCTGGAAAGCGACCCGGGGCCTTTCAGGAGGTGCTTTCTCTTCGGAAGCTCTTGCCGTCACGCCAAACTGCTTCAGTCTATCTGGCTGAAGGGAAAAAAACATGCAGTTAATCCTTTGTTTTTCCATGAAATATTTTGAACCTCCATTTAGATTGTGTTAAACACCTCACTACTTCCCAACTGGCTGTTTAAATTTACAGGAGTTGTATTCCACCCCCCCATCATTTTACAAATATAGCGTATTTTATCTCAGACCAGCAAAAAACAACCTCTAGGGCAGTTTTCAGCGAACGTATTATGCTATTTTTTGTACAGGATAAAATATATATTTTCATCATTGGTCTGCAGTATGTAAAGCTGCCAGTTTCCAACAGTGACTGTACTCTCATGTTATGTTAGAAATGCTTAAAATACCTCCCTCCTTTCTATTATTTCTACTAATTATGAGCTATTTTAATCAAACACACTGAGACTTTTTTTCTAATCAATATTTTCCTGTGATAGTGTTATTATACTTCTTAGGTTGTTTTTGTTTTTACCAGATTTTTTTGCACCTAATGTGGACTCATGACAAATATATATCTATATATTTTTTAATGAAAGTATCAAATGATTATTGGTAACTGGCAGCCTCAGGAGGAGTCAAAGGCAGCATGCAAGTAATGCAAAGGCATGCAAGTCAAGATAGTTCTGAAACTGAATTATCACATCCAGAAAGCCCTTACACCAACTGCTACGCATAAATATTATTCATTCAATTGAGCTAATATAACAAAAACACATAATTTTTAAAAGTAAAAATGGATTTTCTTTCTGAATCTACTGATCTTAACATGACAGTGCTTCTACTAACATGCATTCAGAGACAGTAATACTAGCACCAAAGTATTAGGATCTCTAACAGCAAACTCTGCACCCTATGGTATGAAAGTATTTCAGCAAAATGTTAAATGTTTACCTCCTCATCACTTAGCTGCAAGACAGTATATACAAGGAAGTTAGTACTCACCAACCATGAACTAAATTAAGATAAAAATTCTCAAAACTTACTAGACAAGTTTCTTTATAATATTTAACTTCAAGTTTGTAAGTATGAATCTAAAATTTGCTAATAGTTATGAGTTATGACAATTTCAAATTATAAAGCAGCCTACACAGTTTTTTGCTTGTATTTTCAATTCCAGTAACTTGAGCAGGAGAACATTTAATAGCCTTTCTTAATGACGAACTCAGTGTGAATGGTTCCCACAGTGCTCTGGATTTTAGCTCTGCAGTTAAAGATGTGCCCATGGTACAGTCCGTTTAATCTGGGAATTGCTTTTTAAAAGCTGCTTCTTCATCTATACTGCTTGTTTAATAGACTTTTAATCAGTCTGTAATTAATCAAAAAAATAATTCTTCCTAATTAGAATTTCTCTCTGAGAACCCATTTAAATTTAACAGTGACTGCTGCTTAATGGATGCAGCAATTCTACTTAATCGAAGGCTTTCAGTTCAATTAATGGTTTTAAAACATCATGAGTGTCCTGGACTTGCTGTGGTTATCATTCTGTTCATAAAGCAAGTACTATACAGTGTGAGATGTGTGCAGGATATGGAGTGCAACAGCACAGCACAGTTGGGGCTGTTCAGGTTTGGTTAGACAGGATTTGGTTAGACACCACCTTAAAGCCTGCTGTGACTGAACAGGCAGCCTCTACTGAGGGCCCCTTCTTGCCTGCCCTGCTCCAGATACACACTCATCTGAATCCCCAACGAGCCAAGTCACCTCTAACCAGCAAAACTGGCAAGAGACCTGGATCACTGCCCACTCGCTGAGCTCTATCAGTTCCCTAAAGGAACCAAATCAGCACCACAAAGTGGAGAGGGCAGGAACACTCTAAGCAGCAAACCAGTAGTGAGTGATCTCACTCCCCACTTAGGGGCAATGATTGTTACTTATCTCCATGCACCCTGAGTCTCCTGCCTCCCATGCTGCCAGCACTTCTGACAGTCTCTTACAGCAACCCATTCATCTTCATTTTCTAGAAAATGGCTCCTTTCATAACTGCTGAGCCCTCCAAAAATGGCAAAGCCATTTTATGTCTTAGGCTCTCCAAAAAGCAGCATCATTCATCATTTACGCTGGTAATGGGATTTACTCAAGAGCACAACCTATCCTATACGTCCCCCAGCAGGTCTCCAGTGCATCCAGGAAGCTTTGCCTTTGGGCATTTATCAAGCCCACGTGCGAGAATCATACCAGTCATGGGGCAGCTGCTTGTGTCACCAATAGAGATTATCTACTCCTAGAGCTAACGATCAAACTTACTAGCAATCATCTTACTGAGGAAGTATAGAAAGTATTCTCTCTGCATTCACTCCTAAAAGTAATGCAGTGCTAGAGATCTTGCTGTTTACGAAATCATGTAAAATGCTTATAATCCTCGACACTGCATTTGATAGTAAAAATTAGGTTTACAAAATTCAAAAAAAAAAGTCACTGTAAACTGATTCAGCTGTAAAACTATTTTATTTTGATGTGGAGGAAATTTGTAGGTTTGTTTTTAACTGAAAAGAACAAATTAGACACACAGTAAAGACGGCCAGCAGCACACTTTACATTTGCACAAGAGGATTACTAATGGTTTCATATACAAGCTACCAATGGACACCAAATATTTTCCCATCATCTACACTGTTTGTACTAAATTTCCACTTAGTGTTTGAAAAGTTCTGTTAAACTCTTTTCTCCTTCAGCTGAAAGGATAGGTAACAACTAACAGCCTTATCCTTGACTTTAACATTTTATACTAATGCCCTATTAGAAAAAGGAACATACATTTATCATGCTATGGCTCAGTAACCACAATGTATATGTAACAAAAAGGCTGCATACACAAAAAGGAAAAGCCAAGTTCCTCACCTCCTTTTCTGGGTCTTGCACTCCAGAGGCAGCAACTAGGAGTTCCAGCTCCTTTTCACTGTTTTGTTGTTGTTGAGAAAAAAAAGTTAAAAAATAAGAAGATCAAGCCAGAGAGCAATAACAACTATGCTAATTCTTTTAAAGCACAGACTTCACAAATGTGTAGTTAAAATAACCCTGAAAACCCAAGGCAACAAAGACCATTCATCTGCTTGACTCCTACTGGGGTCAGAGAAGAACACAGCATACTCTTTGTAAATAAACAGAACTTTCCCAGAAGCATCTAGCTATCATCCATTCCACCTAATAAAGACTGACAAAAAGGCATACTTTTTTTTAAACTATAACCTCATACTAAATACTTTTTGATAAAAATTAATCTTCACTCACATTACAGGAAGAAGCTTATTATCAGCATATTCAAACAAGTGATTCAAAACTACAGCAGTAAGTTCTTTATACTGCATATTTCAGGTATAATGTTTGTTGGGCACATTCACTTTGTAATTACACTGTCAAGTCATTTCTTCTTAATTAATCCTGTCATTAATATCACTGTGCTATGTATCCACACTGACATTCAGCAACCAAATATGAACAGATAAGCAAGAAGTTTATATTTATTTTGCATGAGCCTGACAGATAAGTGCATTGAAAGTAAAAGATCACCTTCCTAAATGTGAAGAAAGTTCTTTTCAACTCTGCAAAATAATCCCACACTCACTCAGCCTCCCCTCCACTTGCCCTCCCACCCAAAGTCTCTGTAACATTCTGTATTATGAAAGTCTCTTTCATATCCTTAAAAAAGGAAAAAAACGTATCCAAGTGATCCACTTCATCCAAATGAGTTTAATTAGACATTATCTTTAATAAAATACTAGCTAGAATTCCTTATTTGTGAAAAACACTCAGAGAAATTCATAAAATTTCTTTAAATTTCAGCAGTTATCTTTTACAATATAGTAACTTTTCACTACCGTCTTTTATTTCTCTGTTGTTCAGCCATCTGCTCAATCAGTTCTTGCCTGTATTTCTCTTTTTTCCTTTGGAGAACTTCTTGGTCATGGCCACCTAACGGAGATTAGCATACACTAGCATAAACACTCCACAAAAGACATACAAAAGACACTGTACAAAAACCCCTTATTTCAAATAATTCAAAATATGAAACACAGTAGAACACACAGTTTGGAAATGTGCTTACCAGCATTGTATCTTTACTGTTAAATAAAAATTTTAATATACAAACTGACTTAGGTATGATAATCAGAACTAATATTTTTATTATTATAATTTAACTATATAATTTTTAGCTTAACATTTCTGGATAGTCTGAATAGTTCTAAGCTTCAAAACACTGCAATACTGATACAATAATTTAAAATCTTCCTGAATTTTTATAAGACTTTTTTCCCCAATACTGAACTAAGAAAAATATATGAGGACACTCAAAAATTACAAAGAACTGCTCGGAATAAAAATTATATTAAAAAAAAAAAAAATTAACATGTATCTGCACACAAAATCATTCTGTGGATCTCCAGTGAAGCAGACCTGACCAAAAAAGGGGAGAAGACTGAAAAGACAAATTAAAGAACCATGATTTATGTCGAGTGATTTTTTTTATTCAACTACTCCACTGCAACTATAAAAGCAACCAAAATACATGATATGGCCTTGCAGCTTATGATTTTTTTTTTCGGTCCAACATTCACCTCATCTCCAATAACTCTTAATGGTAATATTTTCGATAATTCTTAATGATAATATATTTAATCTTTATGCAATAGAGTTAATATTCCTCACCTAGCCAGGAATTTGTCAAGACAGATCTCTGTACTCAACGAGTACTAAACTATAACAAAACGATTGCAAACAGACCAGAGAGGCTGACAATTACACCACCAGTTTTAATGCTGCCTTTAAAATCTCCAAAAAAAATGTCCTGTCATATATCACTACAGATTATTTTGATTCGAATGTAAAACTAAATTGTTACGGCAACTGTTTTTCAGTTTTTCACCAATTCTTGTCTAGCTTAACTTTAGAGGCTGGTTTAAATCCAGTAAGTGTGAAAAGCTACTACAGTTCTTTTATTAATTTTCTTAGAATTTTCTGAATTTAGTCAGGAATGCTGTTTTTTGTCAAGTAAAACACAGTATTTCTCCCTAGTATGCTCCCTGCTAAAACTTGCAGCTGCATTTAAATGATAAGAGATGTTCAGTCATCTGTTCTTAGACACACTTGTCCACACTACCATTTCCCACATTTTTAAAATTAAAATTCAAGCACCGAGTTGCAAGTGTCTTCAAGACTGCAGATACTCCCATGGCTTAGTTTCCTAAAGAAATGTTAAAAATCTAATCCTTACACTATTAAGAAAGCTTCCGAAGAAATATGACCTCTTAAAACTAGCTGGAAAGCCATATTACGTTAAATGGAAAAAGTAATATTCTTTTTCTTTTTGATTTTCTCAATTTAAATAATATTTACTTACCACTCTTAGGAACAACTAGCATCAAAAAAGATAGTTATAATTATTGTCAAAGTAAAATATGCAAAGAGAGGCTAACTTATTGTTCCTAAATAGATTTTTTTGTACATACCAAGAACAAGGCCTGTTGCATACGGCATTTCAGCTGCAGACTTTGCCTGTTCACTAGCTGAAGTAGCAACTTGTGCCTGACTTCTGGCAAAGAGAAAAGAAAATAGACAGATCAAACTTAAAAATTCACCCTCAGTTTAAAGAAATATTGGCTATTTTAGCTAGCATATTAGGATTTTTAATAAATATTCTCTTTCATTATGATTTTTAGTTACCAAAAAAATACTCTGCATGACACACCTAAAAGGTCCAGTTCTTGAGATCTGTTGCAAATGTGGTCTTTCCTTTAATTCGTCTTCATAATCTGTAGGCAGATCTCTTACTCTTGCATCTGGATATGGCCTTCAAAAAATAGAAATGAGTGAGCTATGTTCATCTAAGTACATCCAGTCCTAAACAGAAGGTCCACCAATCCCTTACAAATGGATTCTCAACCCAGTTTTGCGTTGGGCAATAGACCCAGCTCTGAATACATCATTCAACTTCCCAAAATAATTCCCTTTACCGGCATTGTCAAGGCAAACGTCAAGGCTCTCTCCAGAATTTGAAAACCGAAGTGTACTTCAGCGCTACCTTCATGTTACTGGGGCCTGCTTGGAGTTCTGAGAGCTGAAGAGATGCAGAAACTCCAATACTTGTTTATGCATGTGACCAAATCCGGATCCTTCGTGGCGAGTCCTGACCAGATCCTAGAAATGGCACTCTGGCATTCAAAGAGCATTAAGTGAAGCTGATCATGCTCGGTGTGCCCAGAGGCCAAAGCCTAAGGCAGCCTTCAGCACGGATCCTTCTGAGCATTAAGTGAAGCTCATCATGCTCGGTGTGCCCAAAGGCCAAAGCCTAAGGCAGCCTTCAGCACACAGCTAATTGGCAAGTCTAGTAAAACAGTTAATGCAGGGCGTGAGAATCCACCCTTAGCTACAGACCTGACATTATTTAAAAGGAAAATGGGTGTTCTCCTCAAGGTAAGAGACAGGTATAAGGTAGCACGGCAAGAACACGAGCTGAAAAGTGAATCATCTACATATAAAAGCAAAGAAAATAATGCAAATGAAACTCTAAATAGTTCCCAAGATGCCCCAAATTACGCAGATACAAGTGAGCTTTTCCTGAAAACACCTGAGGTAGTTAAATTTACAGAGTTGTCTAGACTCTTAAAATCAACTGCTTTCTAATGAGGGCTTCAAGTTATCTTGATAAAATAAGGTAAGAACAGAATAAAAAATAAAGCACCCAGTAAATGCGGACAAAGTTGCATATTTTCCAGTGAGCTGGGGAAAGCTATGTACTTGCTCTTAAGTAAAGCACTGCCTCCAAAAAGCTGCTTTTGCCCAGATAGGTCAACTGCTGAGGACAGCCCAGTGTCCAAAACACAAGTCACAAATTTTGTACCTCCTCTTGCTTTGCTGTTACCATCTCCATTAGCTAAAACATGTCACAGTCTCTGTGCCCTCTGGCACAACAGAAGTCTTTCCGGAAGACACTTAACTTCTCCCTCCAACATAATAAAGCCCTATTTAAAAAAGTATGTATTTTAGTACAGCAAATAATAAAAATATTCTTTCTCATGATTTTCCTTTCAGCCACAAATCCAACCTGAGTGGAAAAAGGCTGAATTTACCCGAAAAGGGGCTGACAGGAAGGCTAGCTCTTCAGGCGCTGAGCTGTGCGTCCTTCTTGAAGAGGAGCTGGACATAGTTTGTAAGAGATAAGTGCAGCTCCTCGTAAAGGAGAAAACTGGATGCCAAAGTACACTTAGTAAGAAACAAATGAACATCTCCAATTTAAGAAAAGGCAAAAAACTAAGCATAACCTAAATAAACCTTAATTTTATGTAGAAATTTAAGTTCAGACAATTCAGCTGATCAAGCAATTTCTTTTAACACAGGCATACACCAAACTTGCTAGTAACAGGGATAAGACTGGAATCCTCTGTACTGCCTTCCTAAGAAAAAGTTGTATTTGACTATTTCAGAGGCCTCTTGAAATAAGCAATTAATTGTCTAGTATGGCATTGGTCCCAGACATTCATATGAGCACCACGGGGGTTTTCTGCAGTAACTACTGCTATTCAAGGTGATACTGTTTACTATTGACTGAAAAAAAAACCACCTCACTGGTAGTTTACATATATAACTATATATTCTTTGAGAAACAAATGAAATGGCCCTTTTTTGTTAAATATTGGACCACCTGTCCAATTACATTAGACAGCGGCAAATTACAGCTATCTTGCAAAAAAGTAAGACTCATCCTAGTGGACATTAATTAACAGGATTAATAGTAACATCCTTTTCTGAAAAATATTGGTATTTTGGCTATCTTTGTTAGTTATTGAGTCAAGCCTCTTAGAATAGGCTCTTTATGTTCTACAACTCTTCAGAATTTTATAAGGAAAAATATGCTGAAGCCCGCTTTGCTCCATCTTATGATGTACCACTGAAAAAAGTACAATTTGTGTTAAGCTTCCCCAAATTCCCCAAATATAGATATTCTTATTCCTGCCTGTTTAACCACT